CTCATGATATCGGAATTTTCTAGTTCAATGTCTAAAATAAGGCACTCCTTTCAAAAAAAATTATTTTTTTTTTATATATAATATAACAAATTGAAAGTAACAAGTGAGAGGATATGTAATAATTATTTATTGTTTGTCATTTTTTTCGAATGTCCAAATACGCATTTATCCTTTTTAGAATGGTGGACCGCGAGGTGGAGAGGTTTTGAATAACTTACAAGAAATTGAGTTGAGAGTTTATCCGCAATGGGGTGAAAAAAATACTCGAATTTATACTTTGGCGGCAACAAAAGGAGTAGGAGCGTGCAACGTAAACTGTCAATATTAATATTATAAAACAAATTGATACATATATGTTTATTATGTTTTACAACACCGAAAGAATATTAATAATATAAAAAATTACATTAACAGCATCTAATAATATGCCAATTTTAATTAAGCTTAATACTGAAATTATTATAGCAACAATTTGCAATAGTAAACAATTTATTTATAATATTAAAATTTTGTTATTAATAATCGCATCTTTATTTCAGGGTGATACTGGTAGCCCTTTAGTAGCCAATGGATTTCAAATTGGAATCGCCTCTTACTATTTCCCCTGCGCAGTGGGAGGTGTAAACGTTCACACAAGAGCATCAAGTTCCATAACATGGATATTTGCAAATTTAAAGAATTAAAAAATATATATTATTTTATTTATTAACATACCACTTTGTTTTATATAATTTAAAGTTTAATTATTAATATATGTATTTTGAGCAAATTATTTCTGCAAAATATATAATTTCCTGTTATAAGTATTTCCTGTTGCTTTTTCGATCAGTTAAATAAATTACCAATGCAAGTAACAAATGAATCGGTTTGATTTTTTTCTATGTAAAAGCTAATATTCTTGTTTGTTATCTTAAGATAAACAATATCATATTAATTAGTTAGCGCAAAATTCATAAGTGCACGTGATATTGTTATAATTTATAATTACAAAAATAATTTCTGCATTTTTCTCAAACTTTAACATTAAAAAATGTAGTATTGTATACTATATATTTATCAATAAAGTAACAATTTACTTAACATGATAGACTATTATAATGTTGTAATTTATATCACTAAAGGCTAAGAAACTAAAATTCGTGTCACAAATCTGATTTGCAGCTTCTGCTCTTTTTTTTTGTATTTTCTTATATGCTACCCAAACACTCATATTATTAGTAGAAAAGATGCCCTGATCATCATGTTCCAATATTAAGAATCTCCGAAGAAATCTGATGGAAATCACTTCTGCAGCGGATTCACCATCAAAATCAGTACACCATTCTTACTGCCGCTCAATGTATAATAAAATACGTACTTCGATCTTGTTTTATGTTATTTATACACTCGCATATAAATAAAATAAAATTCTTTTTGTAATACCGGAAGAAAGATGTTTAACCCTGGCTAGCCCTTAGTTTCGAGTCCTTAATTCGCCACACTCCGGTACGTGAGATTGCTAGACTTCGTCGCACTGTCATTTTCATTTTAATTAATAATTTTAAGCTTGTACTGTAGAAATTGGAAATACAGACTCTAAATAAGATGTTTATGATAATATCAAGTCAAGAAAATGATTTGAATATTTAAACTGAACTTATTACAAGGAATAAAAAATTATGTAAAAATTAGAAAACCGAAAAACGTTCAGCGATCCACACTGAACCGGAGTGTAGCGAGCTAGGATTAAGGGGGAATATACAGTCAGAGACGCAAAAAAAGAGGGATTTTCTCGAATTTTTTCTACGTAAACGTATTAACTTTTTTATTCAAAAATTTTTACATGATATTAATATATGTTTGACGAACTTTTTGTATTTTTTTTAGTAGAAAATAATAGTTATTATAATTTTGGCGAATAATTTTGGCTTTTATTCATACTGAAGTCGGTGGACACAATATCTCAAAATCTACTGCACCGATCTTTTTGAAATTTTACACACTTCTTTTATACATGGCATATTAAGCTTCCGTGTGGACGAAGGATTTTTTTTCAACGATTAGAACTTGTTTTACAAAAATGAAATGATCAATTTTTTTTGGTAAAAATCGTGACTCAAACTTTAAAGTTCTCTAAAAAATTCAAAATTTAATTTTTTTTTTAAATCTTTTGTTCACACGGAAGATAAAGTCATCTACTAACGAAATCTTCTTGGTTTTTTTATTTTAGATAATCTTGTCTCGAGATATGATGTCCACCGAAATGCTACTTTTTTTTCAGGAGTTGTATTGAAATATTCGCCAAAATTATAATAACTATTATTTTCTACTAAAAAAAAATACGAAAAGTTCAAACATATATTAATATCACGTAAAAGATTCTGAATAAAAAAGTTAATACGTTTACGTAAAAAAAATTCGAGAAAATCTTTCTTTTTTTGCGCCTCTGACTGTATATTCCCCCTCAAAATTATTTGAAAAGCAAAAAGTAATCGACCAATACTTCACTTTATTGGGACTTTAAAAATGCGTTTTTCCTACATATTTGGTGTACAATTATCGTATTTATTGAAGTATTTATCGCGAATTCTGCGTCGATTCCAAGAAGTTGGAAGCGCGATCTCTATACGGTATTTATCACGCGGACGTCGATATGAATGTGCAATGTTTGTACATAATATGTACTCACCTATGTAACTTCGCATTGATTAATACGAAGTAGAGTACCACGATTGCCACGAAAAGTTGATACATATTTCTTGAATTTCTTGGCGATAAAAGTTACAAAAGTTAAGAAGATTTTATTGTTATGTCCTATCAATTGACCCCACAACCGATACGCGCAATAGAGAGAGTGTAGTCGATCACTATCGTTCCGAACACTGCTTATATACAAGTACGTGTTTACGTTCTTGTCTTTATAAGAAGGTGAAAAGAAGGACGGTAAAGCGGATAAAAAGTTTTAAAAGTTCTATAAACATTAAGCTTCTAACAGCCCAATAGCTCTTTTCAGTAATTTGATCTGGATACACTTGCGTCACTATATCCTTCATATTGGAATTAATTATTGGTCAATCTAATCCCAGATCAGAATAAAATGATCAAAAAAAATATTTTTAAAAACAGATAGCTGAAAATAAGCGGTAAAATCCCGAAAATGTTAGCTTGGAATTAAGAAATCAATTTTACATAGTATTTACTTGAAGCCTTTCTTTTACAGACTCTTGTAAAAATATAATAAAATGCAACGTAAATTGCATAACACGAGATGTTTAGCTACCATTATTTATATAATGTAATACTTTCTTTTAATATTAGAGTAGAGACATTGGCTTGTAATCATATAAAATTTTTGCAAACGTGTATTGCCAGAAAATATTATCGTTGTTACACATCATGTATCAAAATTACTCGATAATCTCTCTTTGTGTATCATATTTTATTTAACACTAGCAGTAGTTAATACAATATGCAAGTTTCTAAAAATAACAATTTCAAAATATAAGTTTATAATATTAACGATAGTGAAATACCTAAACCAGTTTTGCAATATTATAACAAATTATTAATTAGAATACATACGACATGATAATTTTCGTATCGACAATTTGGTATCTATGTGTCGAAAATTTTAGACAATTCTTATTAATAAGCAAAAGATTTATGAGTATATACGTTTGTGTAAGCATAAGAAATGTAAAAAGTTATATATTAATTACAATTGCGGTATGTCATATACTCTTATACATATAAGCAGAATGTTATATGATATCTTGTACTCGTATTGTAAACAGAAAATTTATATTAAACGAGATAATATTTTTCGGGATACTATATTAAGATGAGATTGAAAGGGCGATATATGAAATTAATATTTAGTGTTAAAAATATATACTTCATTTTAATAGACTTATATACAAGTTGTATTCACAATATCTAACAATTCAATAGTTGCCGAAAGAACAAGATGTACCAAATCGTTGGTAGAATAAATATCGCGTATCTTTCTTCTAATTCTCATATACGTATTCATTTAACAATATAACACATAAATAATAACAAATAAATGCGAGTCGATATTCTAAAAAAACTATGACTTATTTGTTTAGTAATGTCATTTAGATTTCCTAATATTTAATAATAACTTCATAAGAAGGCAATCGACATTTATTTTGCAGTTGCAAATCCCACTCGATTGTTCTCTATGTCAAACTCTGTGTAGTATCGACCAATAAATACATCGCCCAAAATCCATTCTATGTTACGCGTGTTAAACGGAACATTTTGAAAGCCGGAAAAGCATTTACTTCCAAATGCAGCACCGAGCTATCAGACATTAAATATATGCATGATATTTCTATTCTAAAAACAATTTAAATCTTTATATAATAATATTCTTTACCTTCAAGATATAATCTTGACCAGTGAGTCGAAACGTTTTACCACCTATGACGAAATTGACATCGGGCAATTTAAAAATATAATCATCGTCGCATGGCACCTTTAAACAAAGGTCAATGTTAGTAATCCATATTAATAATCCGTAACTTATCAAACATTCATTAATTTATTTCAATAATTTATTTAAAATAATTGTAAAAGCTGCCATTGCAGAAAGAGATAATAAATTACCATATCATCAACAACACCGATCTCTCTGTTAAGAGCTGCGATAGCCTGCGGTGGTCCAGCTATCGCGTGGTGGCCCGTGTCGACGATAGTTTGACAACCGATCGCGCATAAGATTGTATCCCTTATTTGAACCCTACAGTGCAATAACATTGTCAATTAGCTGACGTATGATCCGTGGTTGACATACATATAATTTAGAAAAAAAAACTACATACTTATCCATAGTAATTTGCCAGTATCTTTCTTTAGTAACATTAACATATGTAAACTCGCCCTTGTAATGAACGGGATTCGAACTACCCAATATCAGTTCACTACTCGTCGCGACTGACAGATCTCTGTGGCAGTATATTTTTCACATTATTTGCATGTTACATTGCATGGAAAGACAATGTATGTAATTAAAAAAATAGTTTCAGATACACGTGGGCCATCCAGAAAAAGATACATACCGACTTAGATAGAAACTGAAAACTAATTGGGACACCAAGTTTTGATCAATCATGTTTTTGAATACAGGAGTCCCAGTCTGGGATGAGAAGGGGTAACCCATCCCCAGGACGCCATCAAATTCCTCCTCGAAGGACAAATCGCTTGTAACCACTCCAAATGGTTGGGATACAACCTTAACTCCAGCAACCTACGAAACGTTGATATTATTAATAAAGTATAACCGTGTGCGTTTTTTTTCGGAGAATAATAGCAACATGTGGTTTTTAGAAAATTTTCATAGATTATGACTGTGTTTAGAATTAAATATATCATTTACTTGACAATAACTTACGATTACGTCGTCAGTAGATAAGATTCCAGACACATTGGCAGCTGCGTAATAAATTGAAAATGTGCCATTTCCTTGCACGTATGTGGTGGACTGTGTATTATCATATTTATTATGATTTACTGCAAAAAGTAGTAAATAAAATTAGTTAATAATGAAGAGTCAAAAAATATCAATTTCTCTTTATTATTTTCTGCTGCTTTAAAGATTTTATAACTTAACTTAAAATTTAAATGAAAGAGACACAATTCTACAGTATTATTCTTATCTTATATTTTTACTTGATATCAAAAGAGAAAGGAATAATTAAGATTATTTTAACATTTGAAACAATAATATTTTTTTAAAACAAATGTACATATTGAAATAATAGAATATCGGAGAGATTAGCGATGTTATGATATACTTACAACAAGCAGGTTGGCTGACGTTGCAGTTTTTAGATGGTACCCAGAGAGCTGAGGAACCAGTGTCGAAAAGTACTTTAAATGTCTGCGGTGGAGTTCCAATTTCGATATTTCCATAATATCGTATATTGCCGTGATTAATCAGAGGTATAGTCAAAAGTTTTATAGGTTTTATAGGTTTAAGGGAGTACGTCGACCTGTATAACAGAATTATTGAAGCAACATAAAAAAAGCCCATTATACATATATTATACGCATGTAAACGCAAATGTACAAATATCATTTAAAATAAATGAGTTTCGGATATTTTAACTGGTCATTTTGAAGCACTTTTAATTTGAAAACTATTAAAGCCCCAACATTTTGGTATTAAGAAATAAGTGCTACCTGCATTTATAAATTTACGCATTAGAATGTAGTTTAAGTATTTTAAAAGCAAATTCCTCTTTTTATGACGCTAATCTCATTTAAGATCTTCGAAAGGATCTTCAAAGCATCTCTAATAATTAGTCTGCTTACTTTATTCCAACTTTCAAAATGCGTTTTTCTCACAGATTTAGTACAATTATCGTATTTATTAAAGTATTTATTGCGAATTCTGCTGTGATTCTAAGAAGCGCGATCTCTATATGGAATTTATCGTGTTGATATAAATGTGGAGCGTACTCACCTATACCATGCTGTACTTATTAACCCGAAGCCGATTATTGCAAGTCCAAGTGTCACCCAGAGTTGATACATGATGTTTCCTGAATTTCTCGACGACTGAAGCTACAAAAGTCAAAATTGTTTTAGGACCGTTAGAACAGCGAGTCAATCCACAATTGGTACGTACAGACAAAGAACAGGCAGTCAAATTGCTAAGCGTTCCCTTATATACAAATGTGCGTACATGGCCTTGTGCTTATAAGAAGGTGAGCAGGAGGGCAGAAAAACATACGAAGCGTTCCAAAGATTTGTGTTCGAACGATATTAGAAATCGCTTCGAGATCTCGGATGGAGAAAAAGAATTCACTAATCATATTTAAGCAATTCGACAATTGACCAATGCAATTGGTCAGTTTTCCAAAAATTTAAGAATTTTATCAACATAAAGAATTTTGTCAGTTTCCAAGAATTTTCTCAATTGTCAAGAATATTTTACATTTCCAAAAATTTCTCAAATTTCTGAAAATTCGGGCTTTCAAATCCGAAAAAAATCAAAAAGTTTCGTGAAAATTAAAAGTCTAGAAAATTGACAAAGTATTGCAATATAATTAGAAATAATCAGGAACAAGGTGAAATAAATCATAACTTCAAGCGTTTCAATTCTCTCGAAAAGAAAACG